CCAGTAGTTGTCCAAGTTCCTGTTGATGGATCATACAATTCGGCACTATGTTGATAATCGCCATGATTATTCCCACCTGTAACTAGTACTTTTCCATTTGTTAATAAGGTCTCTGTGTGCCCTTCTCTTGGAAGGCTCATACTGCCGACATTGATCGATCCTATACGAAAACATATGTATGTGCTCATTCTGAGAAGAATCTGTAATTGTTGGACCCACACGCTGGTCTAATGATGGGCGGAGAATTTTGGATTTTGTAAAATGAAAATTGTTTCTTGCTAATAAAACAAAGTTTTTCCTGAATTTCTGATGACCGAAAAAAAGCCTTGAGTTTATTGTAAGAAGTCGCTCATGATACAGTGTGACCGTGGATTTCACATTTTTGGTAAAGAATTCATATTCATAAATAACAGATAAACTAGGTTCGTATTTTCCAACTATCATCATATTATTCACAAAATTAATGAGCCTGTGAACATGAATTACTAGAATTTGGACGAAAAGAATTTTCGGTTCAAATCCAAAATAATTTTGAAAGGAGAAGAGAGTTCAGCCTAGGTGTAATTTGCCATTGTACTTTCGGTTCAGGTTCAAGTTCTATTCGGATTTTTGGTCCCAACTTTCCTCATTGATATTCATATAAAATCCTATGTTTGTAAATAGTTCATACACTGCGTAGTGCTGAGCAGTTTGTTTGGATCCCTATTAGAAGCGCTGTAGTCTTTGGAGATAATTATTAGCTATCTGAAATAACTGCTCACATGAGAAAGTGCATTGCTGAATAGAATGCAACAGTGATGAGCAACGTAAAGAATATCAATAAATTTTCTATCTTCACTTCAATGTCATTGATACCAAGTGTGTGGACAATGCTGTCAATTACGGAAAGATAAGAACAAACGACCTGTTTGGTTTACAATATCTGTTCGAACTTAATGTTATCTGGAACTTGCCTCAGCAAGACTAAAGGTGTTTTCTATGTCTGGCTATTAATCAGAATAAAAGACGACTGTGAAAGTTTATGAACCTGAAAAGCAAGATGTATGGATCTCCATGTTGCAATCATGCTGTATCCTGTGATGGGTCCGCCTACATTACTCTACGATGGAAATTTACACCCAACTGAGCAACAAGTAAAAAATCTGTTAGAAAACTATATAAAAATTGAGAATCATAATTTAATTCTTATCAAAGTGAGTAGTGATGGCGACTGTATGTTTCGCACTATTCATACATTTTATTCAACAATGTGTATCGATGAAATTAGTTGTCGTTGTTTGCACGAACTGTGTGCACACAAGCAGTATTACAATACAATGAGAATGGTGAACGGCTTTAATCTAATAGATGATGAATGCGTAAAAGATAATGTAACACGAATTTTGAATAGCAATTAACATATTGGTATTCTCACAATGGGAACTTTAGCGAGTATTATTCATCATGTCATTATATCGATGTACTCACAAGTGAATAAGATTAATGTCTGTTTTAATGTGTTGAATGTCACTTTTTTTTCCATGAGAAAGGCTAAACTCTATTTGGCGAATATTAATACGTATACTATAGTCAGAATCTGACATGGATACTGATCAAGACTGATAGCCCAATCATTTTTACCGATTACGGCTACTAGTGAATTGTTGCATGCTACTGTAATGACTACCTCTGTCAATATGTTTGATGATACAGTATCAATAAAAAGTATACATGAGATACCTGTTTAGATGCGTCACATGTCATTGGCAATTAGAATTACAGAAAAAAGAAACTGTTGTTGAGGAGGAAAAGGATGAAAACGTCCCTCCTATTGCTATATAGTTACGAATCAGGTCGTTTTCTCGAACCTTCTCTTGCTATTCGACAATTATTGAATGCCATGGAGGAAAATGTAGTGAATTAGCACCTACTAAGAATAATAAGTATTTTGTCAATTGTCATTGTTAAATTCACAGAGGAAAGCGTTTGATCATCGAAAAAGATGGTAGTGAGGCCTGAAGTTGACACAGTTCTTCCGAGACTCAACTTATGGTAACTGACAACAACCGGGTGTGGGTGTGCGTGTGCGTGAGAGTGTTTATCTTCTCTTCACTTCCACCCACACACCCACCCACACACCCACCCACACCCACACCCACACTCACACTCACACTCACACCGACACCCACCCTTATATAATCTTCATGATCGATATGGAACAGGTAGTCAATGCATTTTTAATAATGAATGAGAACCATACTCAAGTACAAAATGCTCGACAAATGAGTAATTTGCATGTAGAAGAATACATTGCTGTCATGAGATGACTGGAGAAACTGAATGGAATCATTGCACGATTCTTCATGGGCTAGATGTGAAGCTCTCATTGTTATTTTGTCTCGAGTTCATTTGCTTCAAGAGATTGAACATTGCTATACGACTGTCTCACATGAAATAGTTTCGTCAGTAATGTGTATGTATAGATTCTGTAAAAATAGAATACAATACTCCGCTTATTGATTAGGTATTGATACAACTATTAATCTGGGCAAAGTTTTCGTAATACCTACTATCTTTCGAAACTCGGTGTGGATGTGAGTGTCGTTGATGGTGTTCTCATCGCCTATACAACTACACCCCATTCACAAACATCCTCATTTCAAGTCGCCTGATTTCGCGAATCTCTTATTACTAATTTGGAGATTATTCTCCAATGAAGTATTTTTTCTGTATATATTCCTTCCGTTTTACTATTGCAAGAAAAAAGCTGCAATATATCAATGCAAATGATTTCATAAAGGATTGAAATTATACAATTTTCATCGATTACGAATCGACTGTAACAAAACAAATCAAAATTATCATTTTTGAACGACTAATTCGACTAAATATGATTATAATATTAGAAGAAGAAAGGTAATTTAAATTATCCTACAACCAGTCTAAACTGTATAAGTCATCCAAAACCATTTAAAATCAACCAGAATCCTTCGAAGCCTACAAAGAATCTAAAACTATTTCCGCTGAATGTTCTTTACTTCAAATGATTTTGATTGACTTTTGATAAGTTACTGATTCTCGATGATTTTAGTGTAACCGTTAGCTAGATGTATAGCAACTACATATACCTGATTTAAAAGTAATATTTAGGTAGATTAAGAAGCGTTTGTGTACAGCTTACCTAATTGTTGAGTTGTGGTCACAGCTGTTGGTAATGGTGTTGTTGTCGTTGGTGATCGTGACATTGCCGTTGATGATGATGACATTGCTGTTGATGATGGTGATATTGCTGTAGTGATATCCCGCTTCTTTGGTGCAAGTATGACGAATTTCAATACCAGAGAAAGTATAACTGCAAGCGATGTTACAACGATAAAGCAGATGCACATGACCTTAAACCAACGATGGCGCCACCATTTGCGTGGTTCATCATTTCCATTGACTTGCTCACTGGGCATAAGTTGTTACGTATACTAGGTTTTACAAGAAACTTAAATTGAAACAAGAACAAGTATGTGAATGAAAAGAGCACTCACATTCACAACCACACTTATAGTTTCGTCATTACAGAAAAATCTGCTAAGAATGCTAAAGTGCATCGATAGAAAGGAAATGGTTGTGCTAGTAAATGAAAGCGCCCTATAAACGTAGAAAAGACGGTGGTAAAACTATTCTATTCATAAAAAAAGAATAACCAATAATACAGATCTACATGAGTGGGAAACAGTTAGAAACAGTGAGATCATTTAGTTATTTAGAATTTGTGTAGGCGGATATACTGTTCCTCGCACCAACTATCAAATATTCTATAGAAAAGATTTAGAGTTCATATACTAAATTAAGATGTCTGACATATTGAAACTATGTTTCTTTGTCTATAGCTTTCCTTTCTTTGCGTGGAATTTTCACCTCTTTTCCCTACTACACATCTCTCACTAAACATTTCTAGAACGTAAGTTCAGAATAGGTTTAAGGATAGCACATAGATGTACTACTATAGCGGCACGTAAACAAATTAATAATTAGAATATCACGTTCCGACCTTGGCGAGACGTTATTGTTTAATGATCTTTTCTATAGGAATGTCTTTACGAATAAAGAAAAGAAACAACAAAGAGATTATACTGAATAGAAGTTAAATTTAGGACATTTCTCTAGATTATCCAGAGTGAGAAAAATAATTAATAGGCATGAGCCAATTCTAATCCGTTGGCTCCAATTCATCGAAAATCATTCCTAATAAGAAAATAGATTAGATTAGCGCACGAGTTCTTCTCAGCTTTTTAACAGCACTATCTCCTCGCTCCATCTTAATATCTCTGATGGCTTATGTTTCAGAGAGTCTTTATCATTTACGTCGGGTAGAAAAAACAAGTTAGCATATGGTCCGCCTTTTACCTACTTATTTTTCTTTTTGTCTTATTTATCTTTTTCATTTGTTTTTCTTTTTGATATCATACCGTTTTTCCTTTCTCCTTTCTCCTTTCTCTTCCTTCCTGTTAGTATGTTTGCTTTAAGCGTCAATGAACGTCATAGAATACGGCTTACTCCAAAAAAAAAAATCTAATGTTTTTTCATCTTTTCGCGTACAGATGTCTCGTGAGTGCCATGATGTGAGTATGGGACAGATTCTACGACTGGTTTCGATCTTGCTCAAAGACCTCATCAGATGAATAGTAGATCTCAATGCTGACTAGTGAATCGTTGAGAATAGCTTGAGACAAGCTACTGTAATACAAGTGTACTTTACATTTGTCTTTGTTTTATTTTTTTAGTGCAGGAAGAATATATCTAAAATGGGAAGGAACATGAATTTATAAATATATAATGGGACAACTTTTGAATGCTTATGATGACAAGAATATTTTAGATCAAACCTAAATGAAGATGTGATGATTAGAGTAACAAACCAAAATAAAGTCTTCTTGCACAAGAATTTGGTAATTTTGAGCATTTCTAGATATTCTCTGTGATATTAACTCGAGATATAGTTTTCAATGTTTGTTCAATATTATATTGAGCACATTGATCTATACTTGTTTGATGATTTTCGACGACAGTTATGATAATATCAATAGTTGGTGGCTTTTGAAAGGATTTGTGTCCAATCAAACAAGATCTCCAAAAACTAAAAACGTTTGAACGAGTTAAGATTTCGTTATAACACCATTTTAATGATAAACTGTTCTAAAACGTATTTTTGTTCGTTTTACTTGAATTGATTTTACTGTGTTAATCATTAACTCGGTAATTTGTATGTTTTCAACGAGATTATCTTCATTTCACATGATTTGCTTTCTCGGACACAATTAATCTTTCAACCTTTTGCAACTGAAGAACACATTTTCTATGATAATGATTGTCAATAACTCTTTAGTTATACACTGAAATATTGTATGATAGATATGAAAGCTACTTTGGAAGGTCATAACATCATGATAGTGTGATAAAATTATTGAAACAAAATCTCTCAATTACTTCCTTCAAGTAGATACAAAAGTCTCATAATAATATGAACATTCATTTTCAAGATAGTAAAAATATTAGACTGATTCATTTAACTGTGAAACGATTACTATAATATAGAAACTTGTTTTGTATGATTTATTAGAAAAGATCAAAACTGATCTCATATCTATTTAATAATTGACTTCATTTTAGCAACTATTTACCTTTCCCGAGCCCAAGTTAATTATTGAACTTTCTGTGTTTCTCCATCTGTCATCAGATGCAATAATAAAGAAACTAAGCAGCAACTCTGAGAACGCTTTCCTTCTTTGATTGTAATTTCCTTGTACACAACATGACAATGATAAACTACCATCTGCTATTTGTAATCATTTTACAGATGCAGTTGAAAAGCTTACGAAAATTATCAGAAATATTGATAGTACAATAAAGAAACAAGGGAGAATTACATATCTCATGTCTGAATGTTGAAAAGGAGAGAAACACATTTTTTTGCGAGTTTTATTAGTCTAATCGTGTATATGTTTGAATTCCTTAAATCGTCAACACGAGCAGATGTGTCAGATATTTAAAAAATACATTTTGATGAATCGATGCACTTTGAACATGTTAAAACATCTTTTTTCGTTTTTTTGATCTGTTAATTATTTATTCTCATGCTTCCGAATTTTTTTTTATTCTCTGACATCATTTCATATTTTTTTTCTTACGTGCATATTTTATAGTCTTTCTTCATGCTTCGTTTTTCATGTTAATTGCAAATTGTTGCTTTGAGATATTTGTCTGATGCCATTTAGTGGATTGTTTCTTCTTCTATATAGTTAGTAAGAGTTTAACTTAGTCGATAAATAGACAGATAGATAGATAGACATCCTTATGTTCTCTGAAATCATTGAAATTCTTTGTTTCCAATAAAGGCGGGTGTGAGTGTGAGTGCGGGTGTGAGTGTGGGCGTGGGCGTGGGGTGTGGGTGGGTGTGGGTGTGTGTGGGTGTGGGTGTGGGTGTGGGTGTGGGTGTGGGTGTGGGGCATGTGTGGGTGTGGATGTGGGTGTGTGGGTGGGTGTGGGTGTAGGTGTGTGTGGGTGGGTGTGTGGATGTCGGTGTGGGTGTGGGTGGGTGTGTGGATGTGGGGTGTTTGTGGATGTGGGGTGTTTGTGGATGTGGGTGTGTGGGTGTCGGTGTGGGTGTAAGTGAATGAATGAGATAAAGATACACCCACACCCACCCACACCCACACCCACACCCCACACCCACCCACACCCACACCCCACACCCACACCCACCCACACCCACACCCACCCACACCCACACCCCACACCCCACACCCCACACCCACCCACACCCACACCCCACACCCACCCACACCCACACTCACCCCACACCCACACCCCACACCCACACCCACCCACCCACACCCACACACACCCACACCCACCCACCCACACCCACACCCAAGATCAAGTAAAACTGATAAACGCGATGTTGAACTGAGTGTTTTAAAGAAATTGAATGAAGAATACCCTTTAAGAACATCATATAGTGTTAATGAACAAGACGAAAACAGAAATTCTACTGAAAATGATGATGATCATGGTCTTAACATCTATAGATGCGGTACAACAAATAGAACTCGATCAAATCAACATAAATCTCGTACAATTACCAATTCTTCTCTTACGACGACAACTACATACAATCATAATGAATTTAGATTGAATAATCCGAATAATCATTCGTATACAAATCAATTAATAAACACCCAGTGAAAAATGTTCACTTCGGAGAATGGAAAAGAACGCGCTCCGTAAAATTAACAATCCTGTTTTTTAAGAAAAGAAAACGCTCCGACAAAAGTGGAAAGCGTTCCAAAATGAAACCCCAAAGAACGCTTCCACATCTTTTAAGAGTTGTTTTCAATGCTAAAAAGAAGTGCCCACTATTCTGGAGGGTGTGGGGGTGCAGGTGCATATGTCTTCTCCGACACCCACACCCTTTAAATGCATTAATTGTTTATGCTCAAACCCATGGTGTATCACTTGCTCCTAAATTACTTCTAATTGATTTCAAAAAGGCCGCCTACAATGCTTTTTCGAAAAATTTTCCAATGACTGATATAAAAGGATGTCAATTTCACTATGGGCAAAACATTTGGAGATAAATAAAAAAAAGGTTTAGTGTCTTATTCAAATGATGAAGGAGTACGTCGTCAAATAGCTCATATACTGATGTTACCTTTACTACCATCTCAGGAAATCAATTCGGCTTTTTGTAATATTGTCGAGGAAATTATTGTCTTTCATTAATGAATTTTTTCTGTATTTTTTTTTTCTCATTTAATAAAATTTGTCTTGATTCTACAATGCGACCATTTTTGTCTCTCGTCCCCCAATTTCGCTTTGCGGACACTTTCCAATGTGCGGACATTTTTTCTTAGTTAGTAATTAAAAGTATCCGCAATCAAGAATGAGCCGAATTTTTTATAAGTTCTTTATTTTGAATAATTAGGATTATGTGGTGAAAATGATTGCACTTTCGATGATTCTTGTTTGGAACGTTTCGAATTTTCTTTTGATCGATTGTTTCACAGGTTTCTCGATGATTTATTGTCCATTAACATCACATAAAGATGATAGAAAGGACGAAGAAAATTCGAAAAAAGAACGACAGAGAAAAAGACTTGTGCAAGTATGTGTATGCAAAACGTATTAGAGGTGTAACAATACGTCTGATCACTATCGATGCATGAGAAAGAATGAGTTTTAAAAAAATTAACAGCTCTCACTATTGTTTTACTAGCATTTTGTTTCGACAACTTTTGAAAAGATTTACTGGCTGATACATAGTAAAAAGTTAGTTGATCGGTGAAATAAGGGTACCGAATCATTTTGTGATTTTATTATTATCAGAGTTAATATCGTTGTATTATTTTGAAAAACTTTTGGTGACAGTCCATTACAGATCCCTCGCTTGAAAAATTTCTGCGTTTATCGGATGAAACTTGTGAATTAATGAAGTTATACGAATTTAAAAATTCTTCATAATTTTTAAGACATTCTGTACTTGACACACGATGATTTATTCATATTTTCAGAATCCAACAAAAATAGCAATTTTATACGATTGTGATAAAATATATTGTTCTTTTATTCAAGTCATGCTACTTTTGATTTTTTCTTTGATTGATAGAACATTCTATTTTCAACCTTCATTAAGAGATTGATTGATGCACTATAAAAAAAAAGATACAGGACAAGATTATTTATTATGCCTTATTTTAACCAACGTGACAACCAACGATGCGTAAAACAACATAGAAATGAATATTTGTATGAGTATGCATATTAAAACGAAAGTAAATGTCTTATCACTTCACATTAAAGGTAAATATTATTTTTCTCTATGAAGGTGACACATACGCGTGATAAAAAGGAATCAACGCAATAATGAAAACGATTGATCAGGTCAATATATTCTTAAAGAATCCTGCAATTAAATCTAATATCGGCAATCAATTTATTGTATAAAGATCAAATTTTTATTTTTAAAATGATCATGTTCAAATCATTTTCCAAATATAATGTTATTCAATTGCTTGATGATCGTCATGTCAAAGTTTGTTTGTTTTTTTCTTTATGATGAGTTATTTTCAAATATGTACTAAATCGAAAACGCTCGATTGAAAATTAATTTGAGTTCCCGACTCAAAAGATCTTCCTTGGCTGTCTTCAACAACACAGATCGAACACCTACAGTGATATGCGAATGCATTTCATTGTAACTGATCGTATCTGCAACTAAATGACATATTTGTAAAAAATGATGAACAAACATTCAATGAGCAGTTAGTATTTATCTTTAACCGATTTATATTTATTCTTTAATTTTTTTTATTTTAACAAATAACTTCGGTTACATAATGGTAGAGGAAAAGATCCCAAGATGAATTCGTTTTTATAACGTATTTGGTCAAAAACGAATATATATGGAGTTCATAGTGATGAACTGAGGAAAGTCTCCAAGTTTTTTTTGAGACTTCCTTAGTTTCTACTTAATTTTCGAGATTTCGGCAGGAATTTTCCAAAAACATTTCATATTTTGCTCAATTCTCCAGAGAATCACGACAGGAATTCCTTTAGAATTGGAATATGCATATTCATACCAAGTTTGTTTCAACTAGAAGTTAGATTTTAACAAAAAATTTGTTTTTCCTATGTCTAACATTATAGGGCAAAGAAAAGATGTTACTTTATTTCGAGATTTAATTTATAGAATGTTATCAAACTCAAAATGATTCAATGAAAAGTGCAAAGAAAGTTCATCTAATTTTTTTAATTGTGATTCTACAAAGTATTTGAGAAGTCTATTCCATAAAGTAAAATTGTATAGTTTCATTATTGATTAAATATCATCAAATAATTGTTGATTTGATCGATATCATCTTTAAAAACAAAATTATCAAACATACATATTAATGCCGAAATATAAAAAATTAATCTTTTCTTAATCTGTAATAGTCATGATACTGTTTTTTCTCCTGTTGACTTCAACTTTTTGTATTTTTTACAAGCATTAAATTTTTTCAATCATGCTCTATAAGAATTGTCTGGTTATATGAAGATACATTTTTATGAAATTCATAGGTACGTTCAATCTTTTTAGCTAACAATTGACAAAAAAAAGGAAATATCAGTTTGATTGTACAAATTGTATGACCGTAAGACTTAATACGAATAACTCTGTTTTGATATTGATATGTTCGAAACAAAATTCTTATGTATTAGCAAAGGTGCAAATATTTGACAATTTTTGTGGGGATTATACCTATCATATGAAAAAATATCTGATCAATACTGTCACGATACATAAGCATATATACATTAGGACTCAATAGAATCTCATATAGTTCATGTGTACCTGCTAAATAGTATAATAAGATCTTCATCCTATACCTGTCGTATGAAAAGAAGAAGAAGGACATAGTCAATGTGGTTCTTTCTTCTATTGTTTTGTTCATTTTCGGTTGATAGAAAAGGAGTTGTGTTCATTAATCGTTTATCCTGATTGATATGAGGAGCAAGAAAATTTCAACTTAAAATTTATACTCACTATTTTCCTTTGAAAAATATATATGAGTTCTACAAAATAACTAGAATGTTAGGTGTTAGTTGTGGCACACATTGTATTTTGTAAGGAATGTTTCTAAATTATCAGGATTGAAGAGAACCAATACGAGAATAATCTCAATAAGAACATAATATAAACAAATAATTTTGTTAATGATAATAAATTTTATGACAAGATTTTAGATAATTACTTTTATTCGTCTTATAATATTTGTACGAAATATTTGAACAATGTCATCGTTATCTTCTATTATTGAAATATATTCTGAGAAACATAAGAAATTCACAGATCCTGATCTATGTAAGCTTCTGTGTAATTATTATACCTCATCGGATGTCGTCAATGATTATCAACAAGCCGTCAAACAACTTGATATAGAACCGTTAAATGAAAATTATCAATGGTTATTATTTACGGGTTTTCATGTACTTACCAGTTCTGCTTTTTATAATGATGAACTTCGCGATAAACTTTGTCATTTTTGGTTACCAAAATATGAATCTATGCTTAAAGAATTATTACCAATTGAAGCAACTAAAATAAAACAAAAAGATACTGATCATTTACAACTAAATGCAATTAAATATTTAATTACAAATATGATTACTATGCAACAAACATTAGAAAGTTTAATTCATCTTCTTAAAACATATGGACAATTTCAAAATTTTTCACAAAAAGATGAATATTTATCTATTATTAAATTAATTTCACCATTGTTAATCAATGAACATTTTCTTGAAAGTATTAAAAATGATGATTATACGAATATTAAATTCAAATGGAAAGCAAATGATCCTTTAAATACTGTAAATGTTAAACCTACCGTCGTTTTGTGGATTATATTAAAATTGATCATTACTTTTATTAAGACAGATGAAGATTGTCTAACAGCTATTAAATATAATACAAATGTGAAAGAAGTATTATTAAAATCAATGAGACAAATTAAAGATAATCATCCAATAAAAATTCCTGCCTATGCTGTTTTGACTTTGTTGATCAATGAAGATGATATTAAAAACGAAATCAATGATCCAAATCAAATTATTTCGGTATTAGTTGATAATGCAAATCAAACTGTTGACAATGATGAATCTTCTCAATTTTCAAGCAATGGAGTATATATTATAGATCTTATGATAGCATTAAAAGGTATACTTCTTAAAATATTAACTCTAGTAGATAAAACATTTGTGTATGTATTAGTAACTGTTGATAATCGATGCTATTCACCTAATAGAGACTACAGACGAAATCTCCAATTTTTTTTTACTATTTAGTATATGTCCTATACAGGATAATATGGCTTGAGGAGAAATAGCCTATTGTTAACGTAAGAATCAATGGCAGATTCTAGAGATGCAACAAATCATGAGGTAGATTTGGATTTCAAATATGGATTTGTTTTTGAATCAAATCCACATATATAGTTTTCAATTTGTTCACCGTTGTCGAATTGAAAACTATTTATATCATTCGTTGTTCAAATATGAATTCAAATCCCAATAGCAAAGGTTTAGTTCCAAACCATAATTTTTTTTTCTGCATGTGCCAAATCCTTAGTAAAGTAGATGGTTGTTGGTTACGTCCTGTCTTACCAAATTCATAACAAGTCCCAGATTCTATATTACAAATCCGAATGCTTCGGATTTGTTGGATCGTCATCGGATTCAGAAAACTAGTAAGAAAGCGGCAGTCATGATCGAAAAACAGCTCTTGAAGCCTATTAGATTTAGTTTAACTCCATTTTTTAAAACATTGTTGTCGAGAAAAAAATGAAAAAAAGACTTTACAAGGGAATGGTGACCATCAGGTTTTTCACGATGTAGATCCACGTCTGGTAAGAACTGATATTAATATACTCTGCAATGCTTTAGACTGTAGCCATATCTGTAAGCATCTACAACCATTAGAACAAATCGCATCCGTACACATTGCCATGAAAACATTGTAAAATACCTTAATATAGTTCTAGAGATTAGTAACTCCAACTTGGAACTAGAATTGACATTGCCAGAGTTGCCCATCTCTATATAGTTCAATTGATATAAGTGTGTCATTGTTTCTAATATTGTGATCCGTTCGTCCTAACCGACGAATACAAAATGTATATACCATTATAAACGATTGTACACGGTATTATACAAAGATCAGGACTTTGAAAGAGCTGAGCTAAACGAAAGAAAATTTAGAAGATGTGTAACAACTCCAGGTAGATGAATGGTAAGTGCTGACTTTGAAATACTGGTGAATAATTCTATCTCTAATGAGATGGAGTTGATCATCTCTGATCATGTTATGTCAACTGAACGTCGTGAATAGTTATTATTCTTTTTAAGCTCAAGTTACTGAGGTGATCGTTTTATTTTTTTGAGAGAAGATATCATATTATTACCAATCATTTCAGAATCTTGTTCGTGATGGTTTATTCTAAACTCAATATTACTTTTGCATGCTCTATGAAGATTCGACGTGAGCAATAAACTTTTCCACATTAATAGCATAAAACTTTAAAAGTTCAAGCTCTTTCAAATATTGAAAGAGGTGTTATCTTTATTATAATTATTAATGTCACAAAGGCACTAAAACTTTCAAGTCGTCTAACTATATGTTAAACGACTCCTTCAACAGTTCAACGAAGTTTAGTTTTTACATTTTTCTTGTATTAGAATACGAAGGCTCATGGTTAAGTTCATGCTTTCATCGAACAAATAAAAACAATATTCTCTAGAATGCATGGAGGGTTACATGACAAAAAAAAGTTTGTCAGTGGTCTTGTAGTCAGGTCAAAAGTCAATTATCAATGGGTTGCTGGAAAGGTGTAAGAGGAGAGTTATGGTTCGATGGGTTATGCCAATCAGAAGTTTTCGCTATGTAACTTTCGTCTAATTATGAATGTTGGCGGCAAGAGTTCGACTATTCAGGTTGCTTTGCCGGAGAGTTTCCGTCAATCAGATATTTTTAGTTTTCAGTTTTCATCTTATCATCTTTTTCAAATGAGAGCATTTCAGCTGATAATAGTCTTCTATTTAAAATATATGAAAATGATGTTACATCTCTTACTCCTTTTTCAATTCAGTTAAATTAGTGTAAGGAATAAGAGACGACTTGTACACTAGGATAACGACAAACTGTGAGTGACGCTCTTGATGAAATTATCGATCGAATCGGATATAATTTGAAAGATAGTTAATTGCATCCAAGCAGAAGACAGAGTTTGACATGGAATATGAAAGTGAGAAAGATTAAAAAGAATATCTAATAACTTAAGCCTAAGATTAATTTGAATAGATTAAAATACATCTAAACTACAAGTTCGTATTGGAAATTAAAATGTTAGTTTCCAACACGTCATTATTTCATTCACTTATCTTTTGTACATTGCGGTATAACTAAGAATGGCACATAAATTTGAAACTCAAATGCGTGGGGTTCGTACGATATACGATAATGAAGTGCATAACGATAGAAATACTAATGTGAAAAATGAACGAAATTATGAAAAGTAATAATAAGTAGTTCTCAATGTTCCCAGAGAGCAATAGGAGAGACTTCAGTCATGAAGTCTGATACATTCTCATGACAATTTGAAATCTTTACTGGTGATGTCTCTTGAATCGTATAGAAAATAATCGATGCTTATTTTCCATAGTTAGAGTAATATTGCACCCGAGATCAAATCATGAGTCTCGATCCCAGTCTTCATCATAGATTCAGTCGAGGGACAAGCGTTACTTTTTAATTTCAGAAAAAAATCCATCACGAACAAGATTCTGACAGTGCAATGCTAATCTTTTTTTTTATAAATTTAAAATATTGATATTAGCTGAATAATTATTTTTATTTACTACAGCATTTTTACAACACGATCAAGTGAAAAATGGATTCATTGAAAACCAGGGTTTAGAAACATTAATGGACTTATCAAATGGAGTTTTAGAACCTCCACCAGATCTCACTGTTTTCGTCGATTTTGAAGCTGAAATAAAACTTCAACTACAACTGGAATTAGAACATCAACAAGAACTTGAAGCTGACCCAAAACTTTCAAAAATATATACACAAATTAAAGAAAATTTCAAAACTGATGTACAAGAACTTTCAAAATACATGGGATTATTGGCATTAGAATGTCTTTTTGTAATGTCATTTAATAAGAAAGCATCCGAAATATTAAAAAAAGATGAATATTTTATGTCTCAAATTCGAAAATTTGCTAATGATAATAATTTGATAAAAACAAATGAACGTTTGAAAAAAACAATAGATGGTTTATTATGGAAAGTAGAAAATGAAGATGAATTTAAAAAGCAACAAGAAACATCTATGATCAAACAGAATAATGAATTTGATTTGATGATTAGTTATAGTTGGCATGATAAACCATTAGTACGTCAAATTTATAAATATTTAACAGAACAATTTAATTATCGAATATGGTTAGATGAAAATCAAATGAGCGGTTCTCTATGTCAAGCAATGGCACAAGCAGTAGAAAAATCTAAATTCGTTCTTATGTGTATGTCAGAAACGTATAAAACAAGTGAAAATTGTCGAAATGAAGCTGAATATGCTCGTGATAGAAAAAAAACAATTATTCCATTGATTGTTCGAAATGTTGAACGTGATGGTTGGCTTGGATTTATATCTGCTGGGAAAATGTATATTGACTTTATGAACCAAGATTTTGACAAAGCCATTAATTTATTACAAGCTGAAATTGAACGACATGAACATAATAAAGAAGAAAATATTCAACAACATAAACCAAAAGAGTAATTCTTTATTTATACTTTAAAAAAAAAACAATATCTTTATGTAATACTATCTTCTAGAATAAATTCGTCTGTTGCTGTTCCTATACCAAAAGCAATCACTGCATCTGTTCCGATAGCAACGAAATTACCTGTTCGTCCGACTGTGATATCTAATGATTATAAAAAAATTCCTTTAGAATCATGGTCTGAACAACATGTTCAGGATTTTCTTTATGATAACAAATTAGATATGATGATTTTATTAACTGAAAATATGAATGGTGAACAACTTTATTTATTATTCGAAAAATGTCAACGAGAACACGATTGTTGGGCTACATTTGATCGTCTCAATGGAGAACTAAAAGAACGACATCAAGAGACACTTCAAATATCGCTTTACTTAAGATTTGTAAATCTTACACAGAAATATACTAATGTATTATCATTTTAAATACAAAAATTAATTTTTACACAGTATTATCCTTCTGGATAATACGATACTTCGTATTGAAGCTATTTGTCATTTCAAACCAAAGTCAATATGTTCTTAATTCTATAGTAATCTTTATCAAGATAGGCTATGAAATTGTTCTACTCTAAAACATAGTTACTTCTATTGGATAATAATCAAACATAAATGTAAATATCGTTAATGTAATCTTATCATGTCATTTTCAGCGTATTTTATGATATTTTTTAAAAATTATGAGCAACATCTATAGGAATACGAAATTTAGTTTTATTATAAAATAGTACCAAATAAGCTTTCGATTCCAGGAATTTTAAAGATGGGTATGGGTGTGGGTTTGGGTCTGGATCTTATTTATACACACACCCACACCCACATCCTTGGGATGAGCTAGGTTACATGGCATCTTGCAGGGCTTCGGAATAATCTCTAAAAGTTCAGTTATGAATCGTCTTGGTGTCCGTGGCACACGAACTGACTTTTACCAGATTCATTGCTGATGTATGTTTAATACACTGTGTGAGTCTGTGGTTGGGCACCCATGAATATAAAAAGCGAATGAAAAACCAAATTCATCTTCAATCAATTTAATTTATTTGAAAGATCGAAAAAAGAAAATTCAAATAATTTTTATGAGTCTATTCGAGAGAAAATCGTTGAACACGATCATTCCAATGATCGACGACATAGAGATCACCATGTCGATCGAAAGACAGACCTCAGGGACTGCTCAATTGACTTGCTCCTACTTCTATACCATTTACACCCAAAATCAGACCACTTTGCTTTGCTCTTTTAAACCAACGCATAACCCGATGATTTCAGAAGTCTGCTACATACAGATTTTCCGATGTATCGATGGAGATTCCGAACGGCGTTGATAATTGTATCAAAGCATTTCCATAGCCGTGACCTTCAGCAACGACAATTCCTTCTTTTGCATCTTTACTTCATTTCACTACACGACGATTCGCATTGTCTGATACATAGACATTCTGTTCTCAATCGACAACGAGATAAGATGGCTCACTTAGTTGATTGAGACCAGCACCCTTGCCATTGCCACCAGCTACAAGAGTGCCATTCTTGTCACCCATTCGATATCGTCTAATTTCATTTTTTTGTGTGCTCAGAGACATACAGATATCTCTGATTATCCATAGCTAAACCCCAACAATCGACATTGTCGATGGGTGTGGGGTGGGTGTGGGTGTGGGTGTGGGTGTGGGTGCGAGTGTGGGGTGTGCGGTGTGGGTGTGAGCGTGGGGTGTGGGTGTGGGTGTGAGTGTGGGGTGTGGGTGTGGGTGTGGGTGTGGGTGTGGGGTGTGGGTGTGGGGTGTGGGTGTGGGTGTGAGTGTGGCTGTGGGTGTGGGTGGGTGTGGGTGTGAGTGTGGGGTGTGGGTGTGAGTGTGAGTGTGGGTGTGGGTGCGAGTTCGAGTGTGGGGTGTGGATGTCGATAATCTCTTCAAACACCCACACCCACACTAATATAATTTCAGAGTACAGTGTATTTCAATAGAAGTTTCTCAAAGTTAGATGAACATGTTTTGTTTAGAATATATAAAAACGGAAAAATCGAGATTTATGGA